AGGAGGTAGGAACTGGCTAGACAGGGTAAAAAAGACCCCAAAGAAAAGTAGCCAGTTTCTTAGCTAAAAGTCAAAATGTCCTTGGGCCTCTTAGCAAAATAATCTGTTCCAAAGGCCAAAAATGTCACAAGTATTCGGGAGCCCTTATCTAATTCCTAAAAGATTTTAGGGTTACCTCTTCAGAGGGGGTAGTTTTAGAGTAGCAAAAAGCCCCGCTGAAAGAAAAGAAAGAAAAGGCAACTGGTGCTCAGTGTGGTGCTCGAAGGAGAAAGAAAGAAAGAAAGAAAGAAAGAAAGAAAGAAAGAAAGAAGAAAGGAGTGAGTACACAAAGTCAGAAAAAAGTGATGGTGAGATATGGGAGGTGTTGGAGGGGAGGGAGTGGTCATGGATTTGATCAAAACACCTTATATGTATGTATGAAATTCTCAATAAAGTTTTTTAAAAGTTAAAAAAAAAGTCTTCTCAGGCCTAAACCATAGCAAGCTTTCTGTCCCCTCTAGTGACTTTCTCTGTCATCATCCCCCTTTTCTGAGAAGTGTTTATAGCATCCTAAATCATAACCACTGAAAAGAGACTAATGCATGAAGTCAGAGTGGTCACTGAATTGCGTCCCTGATTCTTTCTCAAAGTGTAGTGGATTAATGGCTAAGAAGTTAGCAGAAGTGCAAATGTTAAGACTGTAGAGATAAAAGACAAAGTAATTTTTGAGAGGGAATGGATTTCACAAAATAATAAAAAAAAGTAATACATGATGACCAAAGAATTCTGACCACTTTTAATCTGATGTCAATTTTGTGGGGACTGATATAATACCTCATCCCACTAGCTCAAAAGCTCTAAGTGCACCCCTTTAGAAATCTACAAGTGGACAGTATGCTTCTTTAATCAGGTACAGAAAGACCACAGCTCATTGGAGAGTTCTGGGAAATTTTTCTCTAGCTGAACATAAGTCTGACCCAATCCTACAGTTAAGAAACAGAATGAGCAAAGGACCACTGGGCTTTATTCTAGCAACTGATTCTCAGAAGAGAAAACACACTCTGATTCTAAAGTCAGAGGTCAATCCTGCCTCTGTTTACATTCATACAAGTGGGATTATTCATAACAGACTTTTTTATGTCTGGCTTAGTCCATCCAGTGATATGAGTAGGAGATTTATAGCCTACTGTTGCCTGGTAGTTTTGTTTTTTACTATAGTGAATATATCAATAATTATATTAAATATAAATGCTAAGTAAAAGGCAGTATTTTATGTAAAAATAACCACTGACCCACCAGATTAATAACATACAACTACATGCTGCATATGGGTTAGCCAGTGTGGCTAGACTAACATGAAAGACAGAATTATGGCAAGAGGTACTGCTGTAAGACACAGAAGGAACATGCCATAATTATAAAGGATACACACATGTCCCTCATCATGAGTGAGTTTATGTACATGAGCATAATAATGTTCTAAGTACCTAGTGACACCTTTAAGATATGTAAAAGCCAAAATGAACAGAATTAAATCATATTACTGTGTGAAAACACACTAATCTACAGTAATAGGAAATGTCTATTAAAGTTTTCCACTAACAGTTTATTAAAACAGGATTAAAAACAAACAAATGGAAAAACAGTATGAAAATAATTCTACTAGTTCCTGAAAGGAATTAAAAAAACAATAACAAACTTCTGTCAAACTGAAGAAACAAACCAAGCAGCTACTTATGCAAAGTGTCACCAGGTTAGACAGTTTGCACAGTGTGACTCATTCAGATCAGACAACACTGTGCAGTGGAGGTCACTACTGAATCTTAGAGGAATGATAAACTTACTACTTTTCCTACCCAAAGTCCAAGCCTGTAGAAAGACAGACAGAGCCAGGAAGACTAGGCACAATTCATTCAACTTCAAATTCATTGAGAAGGAATTTGAACCTCATCTATGTTCAAATTTGCCCAATCTTATAAAGTGGCACTGGAAACTGAATCAGGTTACCAGGGAGGTCTATTTATATTATCACCCCTATAGTATGCCCATAGTAGGGGATACTCTGCATATTATATCACCTCTATAGTATGGCCCATACCAGGGTAGACCCAGGAAGAAATGCACGATCAAAAACTTCTGCAGAACTAACTGCTCTTAAATAAAAATATGCCTATTTCAATAGATAAGATTAAAAACACTACCTCAACTAAAATTTAAAACACCATAAACCACACTATTTGTGGTCATTTTTTTACCGTTGTGATTTATTTGATTTCCATCAAATGCGCTTTTAGATATCTTAGCAGCACCTTCTATCAGAACCAAAAAAAAAAAAAAAAAAAAACAAAAAAACAAAAAAAAAAAAAAAAAAAAAACCAAAACAAAAAAACAAAAAACAAAATCAAAAAGCAAACAGGGGTGAAGGTGGGCATAATCAAGCTTTCATTAAAAGAACTGCATAACATACTTCAATGAACTGTGGCTTACCAAACCCTTAGTCCACTGATAATACAAATTTTAGAGAAAGGAGCTAAGAACATCCATAAAGACCAACCCCCTTGACTTCTGCCACTTCAGGATACTAGAGTTCCATTGTTGTTTACCTGATGCCACCACTCATCGTCATGGATCAGAGCAGGTACAGTGTGATTCAAATATCATACTATTATATACCACAGATGATTCAGAATTACAAGGTTTATAAAAAATCAGTTGAAAATCTTCACTTTTTAACAGTTTTTCCTTAATGAGCTAAAAACATCAAAGCAAAATATGACTGAGAGAGTTATTGTCATGCACAGAGAACTGACAGTCAATAGCCTCATGTGTCACACAGACTCCTGCTGTGAAAACACTTGGCTACTCTGTATGATTCATGTAGAAAAATGCTCCTAATACAAGTACACTAATTTAAAGAGAAAACCTGGCCAATCCACTCAAGAGCCTCACAAGAAAGTAGGATGAATTTTTTTTAAAACTTTGTCCCACAGCCAACAGGACTTCAAAGTCTCTCACCAAGCAGCATTTGGTGTCACTAGCACAGAGAATGTGCAGTCTGCCCTTTTAGTCCAGTACATAAATGGACACAAAGCTCCTGTCTACAATGAGCTTCCCCTTATCTTTGTTGTTTGTCTGGAACTTGACCTCAGGTAGATAGCCCATCTAATTGGGACAATGCCAAGGAGACAGAGAGGCCAGTCTGCCTCTGGGAAGCAGAAGAACAACTGCAACTGGCAGAGAGAGCTCTGTTGACCCTCCAGGCAGAGTAGTACATATATTCACCCCTCTTCCTAGAGCAGTATTTCCCTGTGCTGCTTTCTTGCTGCTGAAGAGACCACACGTAGGGTGGCCAGGATAGTCCAACTGTACTTTATCTATTTATGTGAATTAGTTATAGCTAATAAACCATTTTGAAAGCTTGTAGTATAATAACGTGGTTAAAATGGGAAAAGTAGAGACCTTTGCTTTTGTTTGTGCCCTAACAGTCCTGTGTGTAACAGAGATAACTATATTAGGCATCCTACCATTATTTCAAAACATGGATCATATGAATGATTTTTTTTTTTTCATTTTTTTTTTCTCATTGCAGCTGGTTTGTTTGTTAGTTTGTTTGTTTGAAGCAGGGTCTCCCTGTAGCCCCAGCTGTCCTGGAACTCACTATGTAGACCAGGCTGGCCTTGAACTCACAGAGATCCGCCTGCCTCTGCCTCCCAAGTGCTGGGACTACAGGCATGCGCCACCACGCCCGGCCATGAATGATTTAAAATTGAGAAGTCTGAATAAAAAATAAAACACAAGAGCATCAACCTAGGTATATTCACATGTTGTCAGATGTCTTAAAATATCAGTCTAATTAATATTACTCACCAATGTGATCATATGCACAAGTGCATACTTTGAGAACAGCCTTGTGTTTGTAGTTGGACTTCCTTAGGCTTTCACAAAGATGGAGTTCATTTTCACCACCCCTGCCTACAATCCTACCCACGGAGCACCCTGACCTAACAGCTCTACTAACGGTCCTGTTCCCTGGCTTCCTCATAGATGAATACCTAAGAAATCCCAGACTTGGCAAAGCAACTATGCCAGAAGAAAGCATAGCCGAAGAAAGAGGCAGAGGTGACCAGATACCATTTTTAGCAGACCAGGATCCACTAGCAGTGTTGGCAAATGGTGCTATCAGTGTCACATCAGAGGAAACTTCTTTAAATTGACTTTAGGGTTAGATACGTCCTTAAACAGAACCCTCATGCAATTAACACAATGTTTCCTTGTCATTCTGGAAGATGCTATACTCAGGGACATTTTTCAGTTACACGGAAAGCTGAGTGACAGGAGTCAGTTTGTTTCACCTGTGATTGTTGCTCTATCTAATATCTTCCATCATGCCTGGCAAGAACAATATGGTATCTGCACCATCACCAGGCACATTTCTCCTCACTTCTAGAAAGTGAGAACCTTGAGCTGCTGGAGTTACTTCCTCAGTTGCATTCTGCTCATTTTCAGTTTTTTAAAAGGAAAACAGTAGTACAAAATATAAGGCATAAAATTTTAAACCACAGCCAGGTGTGGTGGCGCACATCTTTAATCCAGCTTGGTCTACATAGTGAGTTCTAGGCCAGATGGGGCTATAGGGAGACCCTGTCTCAAAACAAAAAAGACCAACCAAACAAAAAAAAAACCCAAAAAACGAATAAAAAAAAAAAGCCACAAACATATTGAAAAAGTTACATTTTTCCAACTAATAAAAATATGAAGCTCAATGAACTCTATTAGTTTTACTATGATTTAAATATTCGCTACTGACTTTGTTATCCCAGGATAATAATACCATCAGATGTGTACATGGGTGAAAGGACTGTTTCTACAGCAGAGTGGCGAGAGTGAGATGAGCTTTTGTAGAGGGCCAGAAGCAGACTCCATCATACACTGCACTCACTGGAATAAGTTACAGTGTTGTCCAACAGCATCATGACCACTGGGGTGGATGAAATAAGATCTGTTATAGTTTCCATCCTTACCAGCATGCAAGTACGCGAGGTCAGGGTTCTCAATGTCAGGATGCTGTTCTTTCAAGTGGTTTCGGAATTCCACTGGGACATTTGTTCCATAGTCGCATTTTGGGCAGTTGTACATCTTGACGCCTTCGTGTTTGCCAGTGTGTAAAATGTGTTTGCGGATATTCTCAGCACAGTTAGACCTATTAAGAAAGTGAAGTAAATTGAATTAGGTCAAATCAATATCATTATCTCACATTAGCTACCTCTGACACAGTATAGAAGCTGAAAATCTTAAGTTCTGTAGGTTAATAACAAATTATTCTGGTGCCACTGAGGGCAGAGAAGGTGTTTGCTTACCCAGAGGGAATACACCCAGCACCAATGAAGAGTAGAACAAATGGAAAGACACTGAGTTCAGAATACTTAGAAAACAAAGACCCTTGGCTTTTAAGTTCTGCCAGTGCGAGCTGCTTCCACTTAAGATACTCAAGCAGTCTGAAGACAGAAGTGCAGCTAGGAACAGTTCCTTGTCCTGCCCACATTAGGGCCATACGTTGGTGTACTGGCTTGTCTATGGTGGTGGTGGTACACTTTCAGAAGGCAGACTGGATAATATAACTGAGGGCCCACATATTACATGCCCACTGGCCACTGAAAATAGAAAAGGGCTCTTTTACCTGTTATCTTCATACAGAGCAAGACCTGGGATGCAGCTCTTGAGGCAAGCTGCTCTGTCTGCCCCTGCATTCCTGCTGCACCTTTGCATCTGACACGGCAAGCTACATGTTTTCTGACTATACATATGCACAGACGTTTTTGTCTGCCTTTGCAATTTTTAGAACAGTCATAAAGAAGATGCTATACAAATATAAGCTAGTGATGAGGAACAAAAAAACCAGGCAGGACTCAGATTTTCTACAGACTAAAATAAAATGCCAGAAGAAAATAGAGTGACCTGCTTATCAACACTTCCTAAAGGGACAACTGAAGAACAGAGCTCTGCAAGTCATTATTTGAAGAAAGATTTCATGAACACATGAGGTTGGGAAAGGATAGTCAGTGGAAATATCTCATGCTGCACCACATGGTACAAAGGTTTGGAATCACCTTGGTGTCTAATACCCAGTTAAATCATGATGCTTATTTTTCATGGAATATTAGTCAAGAAGATGAGGATGGTTATAGATCACAGTTTTATACTAGCTATGTTATCATTTACATGTAGAGGTAGCAAGCAATGTTAGAAATAGACTGAATAAATCCCCATCTATGCACTCACAAGAGAATCTGGATAAATAACCTCTGAGCAAGGCAAAGTGAATGAACATGTCTTGAAGAACAGAATTCCAGATGGGGTCAGGAGTGTCCTTTCCTCTTGACGTGGAGGATACAGAAATGCAGGTGAAGGGGAGAACCCTGGATCATAGGAACAGCCCCATACCAGAAACCAGATATTCTTTTGGGGGAGCTTCTGCCACCTTCCCTCCATGCACAGACTTCATCAAACATGCATGCCCTCTAAGTACAGTCAGAATGATAAAAGCAAACAAAATTAAATTACTCTATGCCCAGGGGGAAACAAAAGAGTAGAAAGGAGCATATCAAATGTTAATGCAGCTAATACTACAATGCCGGATTCTCTTTATTTGCCAAATATACTTTAGCAATTTATGTAGTAAAAAAAAAAAAAAAAAAACAATCCAAATACCATCACTAAAGGAAATTTTTTAAAAAAAGAATCAGAACTACAGAGCTTTATGCAGTTCATTTCAGCCTGCTCTGGGCCAGGGTGTTGTCAAGATGGGTGTTAAATGTCTCTTAGAGTTTACACATAATAAACATAAGACAGTTGATATATAAACACACAGCTTATTTCTTTTATAACACTACCAAATCTCCTTTGCATATGAATTCTCTCTGCTAATCAACAATCAACAGAAGAGGAAAAGCACCAATGTGTGCCACACACCACCACTGCTGCTGAAGGTGACAACAGCACCTTAGCCACTGAGAACTAGTAAGGTAATTGTTATGCTTGGAGATGAAGTGCCTTCTACAGACTTGTGTGCTATCCTGGAAGGTGCTGTGAGACATTCTGGAAGGTTGAGATCCGCCTGGGTCACTGAGAGTGTGTCCTTGGGATTCTACTTTGTTCTGCCCCCTTCCTGTCTCGTCTCTTCTTCCTGACCATATCCCCACTGCCATTATGTTGTGCCTCATCTTAGGTCCAAGGCACTGAATCCAGACAACCTTGAACATTTAAAGCTCTGAAACTGTGAGGTGAAATAAATCTTTCCTCCTTTAATATTGCTTCTTTCAGATGTTTTACATAGTGACATAAAAAGGACTAGAACAAAGAAAAGTTGACTTAAGTTATAGTCTAGTAAATGGTTAAGGTAGAATGTGAATCTAGGTTTTCAGTTTGGAAAACCAATTTGTGTTCAAGTATATCACAGCAGGAGCTTTCATACTGAAAAACGCTGAGCACATTGAACAGAAAAGCAGGACTGCAAAACCTCTTAGATTATATAAATATCCCTAGAATAATGCTGATGTAATATAGGAAAATACATGAATCTGATGATACAAATGTCTGCTTCTGTTAGTAAAAAGGAAGAAGACTATTTTCTGAAGTCTGTAAACAGTTGGTGAACTATTCCAAAGTATTTCTTCACTTCTGTAGATCCCAAAATCATTTTCAAAAGCACTACAGATACCCCCTAAATTCATCAGTTTACTGATGTTGTGGGAAAAAACTGCACAAAACTATTATGACAATTAGTACTGTACTGATTATGTTTTTAAAAAATATTTTATTTAGCACTATGCTTCCCTGGGCCCACAGGACCCTCAGGCCTCTCTCTGACCGCCTAGGCTTCTCTCTCCTGGGTAGGTCCATTGGCCCTCCACCCCTTGATTCCCCCAGCCTTACTCACCCTCCCATCACGCCCGCCACTCTCTCCTCCTATCCTGGGTCCTGTCCCATTCCTTGTCTTGGCACTCCAGAAACCTGGGGAACCACCACTGCTTCCTGATCCTGTGCATCCAGACCAACTCAGTTCCTTCTCAGGTCCCCAGGAGCACTGTTTCTGAGCCTGGCCCTGCCTTCATCTCCATCTGCCTCCCTGGGTCTGCACAACTTACGAGCCTCTATCCTGGACACATGGGCTGACCTTTCCTCTTCCTGGTCCTTTGCATCCACACCAACCCAGCTCCTCAGTACAGTCCACAGGGGCCCTTGGGACTGCCGGCCACCCCCATCTTCCTTTGCATCTCTGGGAGGCATGACTACCAGCTGCCCTAGACCAGCATCTTTCCTGGGCCCAGCTCCGAGGCCAGTCCAACCCCCAAATTCCTGAGGCCAAAATCTACCCTGGAGGGATCCAGACCTTACAAGAAGGCCTGAGAGCATCTGATCCTCATCTGACTTGGGCCTCTGTGGGAACTCCTGAAGACAAAAGCAATCTGGCAGGTCCAATATAAAATCAAAACAGAGAACTGGAAGCTTAGAGGAACCAGCCTTTCATGCCCAAAAAGTACACCACAAAGACACATAAAGTTCACAAAAAGAAGCAGACCTAAACATGAAGCATTTAGTCTCGCACAAGAATCAGAAACTACAGAAGAAATTCACATGTCAAAATCACAGGGAAAAAATAATAACATGAAAAACCAAAAAAACATATCCCAAACAAATACCAAGAGTTCTCTAGAGGAGTACAATAAGGATCCCCTAGAGATAATGCAGGACATGGAACTCAAAATAACAACTATAAACATAATAAAAGAATTCAGTGAATTTAAAGAATACAAAAAGAAATCAAAGAACTGAGGAAGATAGGGATAAACTTCTGGATGAATTCAGAAAAGAGCTAGAAATATTGAAGAATAATGAGGCTGCAATGAAAAAGGAAGTGAAACACTCAGTAAGCCAATTAGAAACGACAGGAGAACGCCTCACCAATAGGACGAACGAAATGGAAAACAGAATATCAAGACTGGAAGACAAAGTGGACGAACTAGGCCTCTCAAGCAAAGAGTATGAAAAATTTAAGAAATCATAAGAATGGAATATGCAGGAATTCTGTAACATCATAAAAAGACCAAACTTACAAATCATAGACATACAGGAAGGAGAAGAATTCCAAGATAACAGCATGGACCAGATCTTCAACAGAATCGTGGAAGGAAATTTCCCAAAATTAAAGAAAGACATGCCCATACAAATACAAGAAGCATATAGAACACCAAACAGACAGGACCAGAAAGGAAACTCTCCACAGCACACCGTAGTAAAAACACTAAACGTAAACAAAAGAGAGAGAGAGAGAGAGAGACAATACTGAAAGCTGCAAAAGGGAAACAACAAGTCACATATAAAGTAAAACGCTTCAGGATTACAGCTGACTTTCAGTGCAAACTATGAAAGCCAGAAAAGCCTGGACTAAAGTATTCCCAGTTCTAAATGACAAAACATGACAAACCACACTACTATACCCAGCCAAAATGTCTATTATAGTCGAAGGGGAAAGAAAAATCTTCCATGACATAAACAGACTGAAGGAATTCATGTCCACAAAACCAGCCCTTCAGAGAGTTCTGGAAACAATACAAAGAGCTGAAGAAAGGAATGACTATATTCAAGGTGTTGTGGAAAGAAATGCAGTGAAGATATAACTGTGGAAAAGTACAGCTACATCATGAACATAACAGAAATAAAAATGACAGGATTCAATACTCATCTTTCATTAATAACTTTAAATATTAACGGACTGACCTCCCCAGTCAAAACACAGATTAGGTGAATGGGTTAAGAAACAAAACCTATCCTTTTGTTGTCTGCAAGAAATCCATCTCACTTTCAAAGATAGAAACTATCTTAAAATGAAAGGATGGAAAAAAATATACCAAACTAATGGTACTAAGAAAAAAGCAGGTATAGCAATTTTATATCTGACAAAATAGACTTTAAACTAAAACTAATCAGAAGAGATCAAGAGGGCCACTTCATTCTGATCAAAGGAACAATAAATCAAGAAGATATTACAATAATGAACATATATTCACCAAACTCTGGTGCACCCAACTTCATAAAAACAATACTACAGGACATTAAGACCCAGATTAATCCCAATTCATTAATAGTAGAAGACTTCGAATAGCCCACTGTCTCCATTAGATAGGTCAACAGGGCAGAGAG